ATGTGAAAGTGGAAGATACCCCTCCAGATGTCCAACTTGAGTTGATAAACATCCAGTGCAGTGATGAATTGAAATCACAGTTTAAAAATTCTAATCTCCTCACATTCTACAAAGAACTGCCTGATACATCATTTCCAAAACTGAAAGACAATGCTCGATTTTGTGCAAGCATGTTTGGCAGTACCTTCCGTGTTTCCCCAAAAATAAAACACTGTCTTATATTAATTTTTGCTCTGAAAGATGCACTAGGTCTTATTTTCAGGGGATGTCTTATTTTTCCATGAAGAAGAATTCACATTTACTATTGAACAATGAAATTCCCAAGTCGAACTTAGACGAGAGTGACGTATATCCGGTCATGTTGAACTGAACTTAAATAAAACCGAAGTCACGGACTGAAGTGAACTTATGAAGTTCCCGTGCTAGAGTGGATTTCTCACTCTTGCTTCAATTTAACCTTTCTATAGCGTCTACATCGGGCTCGATGACCAATTACTGCTTACTGAACCTTAACACTATGCAAATGTGATGTGGCGTGATTCCCGGCCGACCAATTAGTGATCACCAGCCATAACATTATGCAAATCTGTGATTCCAAGCCATAGTCTTATGCAAATCATGCCATGCAGCGTGTTGTCTGCTGACCAATCAGTGGCTGTACTTTCAAAAAGCCAACGGCCACTTTCAACCTGCTGTCGATGACCGTTACGAGTAAAAAAGAAAACTTTACTAGGTCTTACTTTCGGGGGGAGGCCTTGTATTTAGCAATTCAGCAAAACCTCTGCTAGGTCTTATTTTCGGGGAAACATGGTATGTATGCGAACAAGCGTTTTCGCTTATGAATTTAAACAAGTGCAAAACACGGAACAGNTAACTCATCGGTGTTAAATTTCGCAGAAAGGACAGACAAAAAAACTTAGACTTTGAAGCTTTTTCTTCAAAATTAACGCATTTCTTTCGTTTTTTTTCAGTTTTAAGTATTTTTTATGCTTAATTAAAAATTCTAAAAAAATGGGCGGCTCAAAGGGGGTTAAATCATGTATATTTGCTGTTTATCAAGATGGGAATTTAGGGTCTGGAAACAGATTACAGGAAATTCACTTTCCATTATTTCTAATGGGAAAAATTAATTTGAAATTTGAACATCCTCCAGGAAAAAATCAAATTTGAAGTATGAGCCACCACTGTACATGATTTTGGAATTATTTAATAATTGTTAGTAAACCTAGTTAATAGATTTCAGAAAATTTGTAACTTGTAACAATTAGAAAGTCAAGCTACATAACCAACTATCATAAAATATATATTTTAGAAGTTAAACAAAGAACCCTGAAGTGATTTTATGCATTACTTTTCATTAATCATTTTGGAAAGGTCCTTGATCTCTGTGCCTCACATATAATTCTCCTAACATATTGAACAACAATTTATTATTCTCTTCATTATTATTCTATGTCAAGAAACAAAAAATCAAAGAGTTAAATAGGTACTGTACATAAGAGACAAAAATGATTCATTTCTCTAAAAAGAAATACATCATCTTTGTGAAACAACAAAGAATTGTTTGACTGACAGGTAAATAATAGTATTGTGCATATTTTGAAGAAAATGAATATAATTCTGTTATTGTTAATTACATTTATGCAAAAATTATATATTATAATGTATTTAAAAATTATTCATTTAACTAAAATGACTATATCCACATATTTAAATTTCCATAACTTACACTTTTTGCTGAGAACCAGAAACAGGATTGAAGACAGGGTTGAAAGAAGACATATTTTTTACTCTTGTTGGCCTCTCGTAATTAAAAGTGTCTACATTTCTGGGACTAGGTTTGATCTTTGGTTCATTGCTCCTGTTCTCCTTCTCTCTGTAAGCATTTCTTACATGAGCACCTAAACAGAAAATCACATCAACATTAGTCATGAAATAAGTATGATTGAATTTAACTAAATAAAATTCATGGCTAGAATATATTGGACAAAATCAAATCATTTGCAAATATATGAAGTGTATTCGGAAAGTAAAGAAACAAGGTCAGTAGAAATTCAAAAAAATTTTTTCAAAGTTTGCTTCACTGCCTTGTCTTTTATGGTCCTAGTCATTGACAGAAGTCGCTCAACTTTAATTATATCATTGTTATGCTTGCAGCACATATTTAAAATGGCCGTGTCAATTTGTAATCCTGCAAGGTGTGAGGTTGGTTCAGAGATTCAATTCCTCTACATAAAGAAAGAAACTGCTGCTAAAATTCATTGGCAACTTGTCTCTGTTTATGATGAAGACATTACAAATGGGAAAAATGTGACAAAATGGTGTCCTACTGCATGATAATGCCCATCTACGCACTACTTGAATTAAACAAGAGTTTTTGCAAACATTCAAGGGAAGTTTGGACATCATCACATGGACCAGATCTTGCACCAAATGATTATCACTTGTTGCCAAAGTTGAGGAACATCTCTCTGGAAAGGAGTTTGATGACAATGGTAAGGTTGAAGATGATGATGATGACAAGGTAATAAAAGTGAATGAGAAATTTTGATGATGTCAGATTCAAAATACTTGTTTCCAGGCTCATCAAATGTATTGAGGTCCAGTGACCATGTTGGAAAAAAACACACATGCTCTAAACGTATTATAAGTCAATCTAAAATTAAAATGATTTAAATATATTTTCTGGACTTTGTATTTTTACTTTATGAATATAGCTTATAATGCACTTCATCAGAAAATTAAAAGATATATTAATAAACAAAACTTCTTTTAAGTTTAACATTTTCTTCATCACAAGATTAGTAAACTACAGCATACTAATTTTATTACACAGAGTTCAGCTTCAAGACTGTCAAGGTATAGTACAGCATCGATTATCCAAAACAATACGAGACTGGGGTTGTTCGGATAACTGATCATGTATGACAAAATATATTAACCTATCCCATGTTGAAATTTCTCTCCGTTGCATGTTGCTTTGCATTGAATTTTTGTCAATGTTATGCCTAACGAAAATTTTTTTTAAATAATAATGTTGGCTATTGTATCGTTAAAAACTATATCTTTATTTTGCACAAACAAAACAAATATATTGAAAAATATAAAAACAAAAAAAAAATTATATTTTGAAAGTTAATCTAGTATCAAAAACATTCCGATCCAGCATGACACATGTCCCGACACATAGTCCTCAGAAAAACATCACACAAAACATGCAAAATTCTTTCTTTTTCTTAGGTTTATCTAGAGATATCAGCCGCTTAGGCTATATTCTCAGCAAAACACACCATTCACGATGGGGAAAAAAGCCTCGTTCAAATACTGGCATGTCATTAAATACCCTTTCGATGTGTGTTGTGCTGAATCGGAATGTTTTTGATACTAGATTAACTTCCAAAATAGAATTTTTTTGTTTTTATATTTTTCAATATATTTATTTTGTATGTGCAAAATAAAGAAATAATTTTTAACAATACAATATGGTCGCACCAGCACTGACAGCTAAAACATGTGCACCAACAAAAACAATATTGGAGTAGCCCAAGACATACCCAAATATTGCAGTGCCACAGCACTAGCGGAAATTTGAATTTGCTGATTGGAACGCTTTTGGTTAACTGATGTTTCGGTTGATCGGTATTCAGATAATCGATACTTTACTGTATTTTTAAAAATGGATATAGATACCAAGTAATATCTGAATGAGGATGATAGGATGGAAAGTTATCTACAAAGGATCAATTGCTGTTAGCTTTCCTGACAGGAACTCAGAGATAATAGATTCCTGATGGGAATTTTAGAATAATATAAAGAACAAAAATCTACAAAACAGTGGCAAGATCACTTGTAGTTTCTTCTGACTTTTTAGAATTTTTCTTGTTATTGTATGGAAATTCTTAAATAAAGCTATCTTTAATAGATATCACTATTAAAGATAGCTTTATTATTCTGAACTCTTCATATTTGTATTGAAAGTAAAAGTAAATTTTTAAAAAATGATCTTTATTACAGCAATTAGTAATTTTTTTTTAAATATAGGTTTTTTCAAAAGCAAATGACATAAATTATAACATTTACATCTAAAGAAATAATAGTAATATTTTACAATCTCCACCAGACAAAGGTAGATGTTGTCAAATAATAGAAATTTTGGCTCAAATATACAGTACAATCTTGGTAATGCAGCCATTTGCTAATCCAGGGGTGCACAACCTGCGGCCCGCAGGCCACATACTGCCCCCTATCAATGTTTATGCGGCCCGCGGACGGTACAGGCCAAATCCCTTCTTTCGAAGTTTCTAAGTGTAGAACTTTTTCCCTTTCACAAAGTCATTAGCACCCAACTGTTTTATGACTTTCCCTGAGGTGAGAAATGGGGGATTGTTCTATAAATAAGTCTATTTGTAGCTAACACTTTCTGCTTTAGATATCGAATATTTTAAAATGATGTTAGAACATCATTTCCGATATCGGGAAGTTTCTATTTTGGTGGGAAATCTTCAATTTTATGCTTCGGAAAACTTGCCTATTCGTCTAAATAGCGTCAAATAACAAAAATAAGTGAAAATAGCACCGAAAAATCATGAAAATAACGATTTTTTAGCATTTGTTTACATTCTAGATTCTGATTGGTATAGTCGAATTTGAATCAATCTTTTCTGAAAAGACGCTTATTCGTCAACCTAATGTCATTCAAACTAGAAAAAAACTAACCAGAGTTCAAAAAGGAATGTACAAAAAGCTATAAAACCAATAATTTACAACAATATCTCTCCATAGACAAAGAATAGAAAAAAAATTTTTCACATCAAATTTATTATTATTAAGTTGGACCAAGAAAATTAATACTGTAGTTGGAATAGAGTCATTACGACTAAAAGGAAGCCATTTGCATTAAAATATTTTGGATTTAATAATTATTACAAACCGCGTCAAGCCATAAACTTGTCAACAAAGAGGGTTGTAAAATGATTCCGTGTAGCTAGAAAGCTGCGGTTTTTTTTGTTTGAAAGAAAACAGATATATTTAGGTTATTTAAGTAGTAAATTAATTGGAACTTTTTATTTACTTTTATTTTTACATTCTTTTTTTCGTAAATTTAAAATTAAATTATTATTTTTAATTTTTATTTTATTTGAAATTTAACAGTCGTAAACTGTGATATATTTGTGACAGAAAAAAAAAAAAAACAGATTGATTCTAGCGCCAATTTGAAACGAGATATCGCAATTTTAATAATTATATTTAAAATATTCAGATTTTCCACTGCACTGTGTTAATCACTTTTGATTCATTTCTGAACACGGGGGTAAAACTGACGGGCCATAAATATAATTTAGGTAAGAATGGTAACCACATTTATGATGGATTAGTGTCCTGCACCTGGCATGTTGACGATCTGACTCACAAATTCTGAGAAATGGTGGAGACGCCCGGACAGGGGTCGAACGAATTAAGACCTGCCTGGCCACGTGTGCGTAATAGTCTTCTGTCCCCGCCTCTTTAGTCTTTGGTCAGAGTGGATACAGAACAAAGCACGTGGTAGTCTAGCTTGCCTTATCTCAAACATGATTTGTTGCGGGCCTCAGAATTTTCGGCACAATGAGACATTGTTTTGCAGAGTGAACAGTATGGCGCCGGGCATTAAACGCAAGGTCAATCGCGAGAATCATCAGTTTCAAGAAGTGGAAGTGTGGACTAACAAGTACTGTTTTGTGCAACAGAACAACAGCATTATTTGCCTTTTGTGCAATGGAACAATAGCAGTGCCAAAAGAATTCAACCTGAAGCGACATCATGAAAGCCAACACAAGGATTTCCTTCTGCAAGGTACGGAACGCAAACGGAAAATCGAATCGTTACGACGATCACTAATCAGCCAACAAAATGTGTTCAAGAAACAATCTGGAGAATTGGATGCGGCTGTTGAAGCCAGCCTAGAAATATCTGCTTTAATAGCCAAGAATGGGAAACCTTTCACAGATGGCGATATGATAAAAAAGTGTCTTATCATCGCAAGTGAGAAGATGTGTCCTGAGAAGACAAAGTGTTTTCAAACAATCAGTCTTAACCGCATGACGATACAACGGAGAATCTCGCAAATTGCATCAGACATTTCTGGCCAACTTAATATTTTAGTTGCAAACTGTGCTTATTTTTCTTTGGCTGTGGACGAATCCACTGACATATCATCAACAGCACAAGTGATTGTGTTTATTAGAAGTGTTTCACTAGATTTTATTGTGAATGAAGAATTTCTTGGCATGGCATCACTTTCCGGACATACAACTGGTGCTGACTTACTTACTGGTTTATTGAGCGTTTGCAACAAATCAGCACTGGACTTTGACAAGCTATCCAGCATTGCCACTGATGGAGCACCATCTATGGTTGGATGTGAGAATGGCATGGTCACCTTGCTGAAAAACCACCTTGGGGACAGGCAAAAGGAGTTAGTCCAGTATCATTGCATAATTCACCAACAGCAACTTTGTGCAAAGAAGCTGGGATTTGAACGTCTGCTGAAAGATGTATATGATACTGTGAACTTAATCCGCCGTCATGGACTCAACCATCGACTCTTCACATCATTTCTTGAAGAAATAGATGCTGATTATGCTGACCTGCCCACGTATACTGAAGTTTGTTGGCTGAGCAAGGCAGCAGTCCTCAAGAGATTTGTGGAGCTATTGGGGCCTATTATCACTTTCCTCTAATAACGGGGGAACACTACAAGGAATTTGGAGGAACAAAGATGGCAGTGTGATTTAGCTTTCCTTGCTGACATTACTTCTTATCTAAACGACCTTAATTTGAGATTGCAGGAAAAGATGCAACTTGTTTCTCAGTTGACAAGTAACATCAATGCATTTATGACCAAACTATCACTTTTCAAGTC